TTTTTAATTCTGAGGGTTTAGTACAAGTGTCTTCACTAACTTACATTCCCAGCCCTTCTTATTTATTTATTCATGCATTCCTTTAGAACTCTGAAACAATATTGCTAAATTGCTTAGGCTTAGGGGCCGGGGAGATGGCTCAGTAGGATAAGCACTTGACTGGCAAATGCAAGGATCTGAGTTCAATCCCCGGTTCTGCCAAAAAGAAAAAAAAATAAAAATAAAAATAAAAAAATAAAATAAAATAAATTGCTTAGGCTTGGCTTGAACTTTTTTTGATCAATTAAGTTTTTTGTACATTTTAGTTATATATAATGATCATGTTCATCTTAGGAAATTTGTACCTGTACATTATAGAACTTGATTCTTTTTATCCCCATTTCTCTACCTTCCTTTCAACCCCTCCTCCTTTCCTTATTTAAAAAAGCTTTGTTTCCAGTTTTTCCTTGTTTTCTCATTTTTTTCTTTTCCCTTCCTTCCTTTCCTCCTTCCCCCTCCCTAGTTCCCTTTCTCATTTGAACGTTTTCTTGCTATTTCACAATATCTATCATGCATTTTGGTCCTTTTTTATACTTTCAGTTTCTCATACCAGAGAAGCAATACAATATTTATACATGTGCATCTGATTTACTTCACTAAAGAGTATGCTCTCAAAGTGCATCCATTTAGCTAGAAATGTTTCAAGCTTATCTTTCTTTATGGCAAAAGTGTATTACATTGCATAAAAAAAATCTCATTTTAAAAAAAATCATATCTCTCTTATCTAATCATTGGTTGATTGACATTCAGACTGTTTTCAAGATTTAGTCATATAACTGTGACACTGTACACATGGGTATACATATATTGCTATGATATGCTTTTAATGCTTTTGGGAAGATGTCAAGAAGAGGCCGAATGGAACCTCTAATTCTAGTGTTTTGAGGATTCTCCACACTAATGTCTCTTTCTTTCTTTCTTTCTTTCTTTCTTTCTTTCTTTCTTTCTTTCTTTCTTTCTTTCTTTCTTTCTTTCTTTCTGGTACCAGTAATTGAACGCAGGACCTATCACTTGTCAGGCAGGTGCTGTACCACTGAGCCGTATCCCCCACTTCATAGTGGTTGTGGCAGTCTACATTCCCACCAACAATGGAGAAGAGTTCCTATTTACCTGCAGTTCCACTAACATTTTTAATTGTTTGATTTCTTTTTTTTCTTTTTGGCTTTTTGGCAGAACCGGGGATTGAACTCAGACCCTTGCGCTTGCCAGGGAAGCAGTTATTCTACTGAGCCATTTCCCTAGCCCTGTAATCTGTAATTGGTTGGTTTCTTGATGATAGTTATTCTTTCCAGATTGAGATGGAATACTAATATTGTTTTACTTTCTCTCTCTCTCTCTCTCTCTCTCTTTCTCTCTCTCATTTATTTATTTATTTGGTACAGAGTCTCGCTATGCAGCTCGACCTTATAGTGATCCTCTGGTCTCAGCCTCCCCCGCACGGGAATTATAGGTGTGCATCACCATGTCCGGTTTCAGTGGTACCAGGGATAAAATCTGGGTCCACGTGCTTGCTAGGCAGGGGCTTAGACTGGTGAGCTAGCTCTCTAGCTTCTAATTTCCATTTTTCAAATGACCAATGATGTTGAACATTTTTTCATATATTTACTTGCTGTTTCTACTTCTTCATCTGAGAAATGTCTATTTTCACTGCTCATTTTTGGATTGTGTCTTTAAATATGGGGAGGATCTGATTCCTCTGAGCTCTTTGTATGTTCCAGGTAGTACTCTTTTGTGTGAGAGACTGCTGGCAAAATTTTTTTCCCACTTGGTGGCTTGTCTTTTCACTCTGTTGGTCATTCCTCTTACTGTGTAAAAGCCTTTTAAGGGCCAGGGAGATGGCTCAGTAGAATAAGCGCTTCCCTGGCAAGCGCAAGGGTCTGAGTTCAATCCCTGGTTCTGCCCCCCCCCAAAAAAAAAGCTTTTTAGTAGGATGAGATCCTAGTTGCTGATTCTGTGTAGTATTTCTCTTAAGGTCTGGGTTTTATTTTTAAAAGCCTTTGCCTACACCCATGTCTCAAGAGTTACACCTGGTCTATCCTGCAGTAGATTTAGTGTTTCTGTTTTCATATTTAGATTTTTGATCCATTTTGATTTTAGCTTAATGCATTGTGAACAGTATGGCTCTAATTTTAATCTTTGGCATGTGGAAAGCCAGTGTTTTGGGCTTGAACTTTTAATCCTCCTGTCTCAGCTTCCCAGAGGATGGTGGGATTATAGGCATGTGTCACTTTTCCTGCTCAGGCTAGCCTTTTGTTAAGGCAACGACATAAATAATGCTATGTAACCCCACCATACCTGCCCTCCATCTTCTCTATTTGGATTAAGAAACAGGTTGAATGAGGTTAGTTAATTTGTTCATTGCTGCCCAATTCTAGTGATTAAAGAGAATTTATTTATTTATTTATTTTTTTGGTGGAACCGAGGATTGAACTTGGGCCCTTGTGCTTTCCAGGCAAGCACTTATTCTACTGAACCATCTCCCTGGCCCTTAAAGAGAATTTAAACTGTGGATCTCTTTTCATTTTTCCCTTGTGAATCTCTGATATATTCTGGGTCCGTTTCAACTCTGCATTTTCCTCTACTTGTTTTTAGAACCACAATTTGGTTCTCTTGCATTTATAGAATGCTCATTTCCTGTTATGTCTGTGTTATTTATTTATGTATTTTGAGACAATTTCACTATGTAGTTCAAACTGGATTTGAACTTAACTATGTAACTCAGGCTGTCCTTGAACTCACTGTGATCCTCCTTCCTCAGCCTTTAGAATGTTGAGATTACAGGTATGAGTCACTCATTGTAATGCTATTGCAGAAGAACAGATAGTAGAGTGCAGTAATTGTAAGCAGCTCTTGAGTATGAAAAATATTAGGGGCTGGCCAGATAACTCAGAGAGGCCAGGGAGATGGCTCAGCTGACTAAAATCCCTGCTTAGGCAGAGTGCATCGGCAGGGATTTGATACCTGGTGTGCCGTGTTGGTCTGGCCCTCAGGGTGTGCTGAAAGGTTATGGAGACTGGGCGTGGTGGCACATGCCTGTAATCCCAGCACTTGGGAGGCTGATAACAGGGGGATCGCTCTGAGTCCTATCTGTGTGAGACACCGTAATCCCTGCAGACCCTGTACCAAATGCATAAAAATAAATAAGTAAATAAATAAAAATATTAACAAGCCTGGTGTAATGGCATGTGCTTATAATCTCAGCATTCTGGCGGGTGTGTATGTGTGTGTGTGTGTGTGTGCTGAGGCAGGAGTATCACAAATCTGAGCCCAGGTTGGGCAATGCAGTGAGGCCTAGTCTCAAATAAAAGCTAAAAAACCAGCTGGCTGTAGCTCAGTGAGAAAGACCTGGATTTAATCACCAGTATAGCAAACAGTAACAAACTCTGGTGTTGCTGGTACCCTCTGAACCCCAGTTTCTCCAACCACAGCAGACACCTGTGGGGAAGATAAAAGAGAAGATCTACAAGATGAAGGGTCCACTCTATGAATCACACCAGGGGAATCAGAGATTATTTTAGAAACTCAGTGAATCTCTGATATATTCTTGGTCCATTTCAACTCTTCATTTTCCTCTACTTGTTTTTAGAACCACAATTTGGTAGAGTTTCCTTGAACTCCAACTTCAAGATCTGTCTCCACTTCTTAGCAGGTAGAACTGGGCAAACCTAAGGAATTTGGAGGTGGGTAGAGAAAAATGTGTTCCCTCCTTCTGAGTCACCCTAGAAACAAGCTCAAGCCAGGTCAAGTGGGAGAAGGTCATCTTCTTAAGGGTTGGAAGCAAGGTCTCGACCTTCTTCACCAAGCTTGCAGTCTCAATAGTTGAGAATCTAGCTCAGCCAAAGGCTTGAGAAGAAGGGCCAGTGAGATAAGTTAGGGGACTAAGCGCCTGCTTAGACAAGCCCAAGGACCGAGGTTTGATCCCTGGTGTCGCATTAGTAGTGTGATCCTGTCCAAATACATAAAAGTAAAAAAAAAAAAAAAAGGCTTGGGAATGAAGCACAATTGCGTGGAAAATAACCTGAATCTCCTGGTTCTTGCAAAAGGCTGTTTGGCCAAAGTGTGACCTTTCAAGCCATAAATCATTTGTAGCACACACTCTATGCCTGCTCATTTTGTAGATGCCCACTCTTCTGAGCTTTCTCCACAAAGTAAAGCTTAGCTGCAGAAGCAAGACAAATGGGGATCTCAGCGTGCGTCTGAACGAACCTCACACTACCTCCTTGAATTGTCCTCCCCAGCTGTCTTTCTCCAGGTCCTCTGAGCCTCATAAACCTTTATGCTAGTCCTATGATTTACGCAGTAATTCTATCATTTTTGGGTTACTTCTGAGTGTTCGTAGGGGCCAATACACGCTCACTCACGCACGAATCCTCAAAGCCCCCAGCCCCTAGAGCAGCTGCCGGCGGGAACATCAGTAATGCAGGTGGAACAGGACCCTCCGATCTCTTCTTCAACCTCAGATTTCCGTTGGCCTTTTCCACGTGGTCTGCTCGCAGCGCCCCCAGCACTGGACTCCCCGAGACTGGGCCAGACTCTTACCCCGACCGGTCAGCGCGCCGAGGGTGCATTTCCGGTCGCGCAGCGGCCGCAGGCGGGGCTCCAGCTGCCAGCCCC